ACTGAGGGTTTTTCAGTAGATGATGCTGGAACAGCTGGCTGTCTATCTCATGGTGGGAAAGGATCTGTTCTTCCTCCTTCCAGGCCAAATAGAAAATTCTGGCTAGGATGGTACTTTGAAAGTTACCCTGGTGAAGACCTGAAATGACACTAAAACCGACAGACAAGAAGGCTAATAAACTTAGCTGCACGAAAGGTTTAATCCTCTCAGCAAAAGATGACGTAAATAACTCAGATGCAACAGATTGAGAGCAAGTATTATAGAATAAGGAAAATTAGTACCTGGGGTCTCATTTGGTTAAGTGTCTGACTTTGGCTCAAGTCACGCTCTCATAGCTCATGAGTTTGAGCCCAGTGTCGGGCTCTGTGTTGACAACTTGTAGCCTGGAACCTGTTTCGGATTCTGTGTCTCCGTCTCTCTCTGCCCCCCCCCCCCCCCCCCCCCCCCCCCCCCCCCCCGCCGCCCCCATTCGTGCTCTCTGTCTCTCTCAAAAATGAATAAACACTAAAATTTTTTTTAATGAGGAAAATTCACAGTCCAGTTGACAAAGTAGAGATTATGAACAAGTGGTTCATGGATCAAAGAAAAAACATTGGCCTGTATAACGAAAAAAGATTCTTTTGCGGGTAATTGAAGGAAAGCAAAGAAAAAAATAGAGTTCTCATTTTGGCCTCTCACCCTGGCAAAATTTTATACCGTTCTAATATTCCATGTTAGCAAGGATGTGCGGAGTTGGGCAGTTTTTGGAAATGATTTAATGAATCTTTTCGGGCGCGCCTGGGTGGCTCAGTTGGTTAAGCAGCCAACTTCGGCTCAGGTCGTGATCTCACAGTTTGTGAGTTCGAGCCCCGCATCGGGTTCTGTGCTAACAGCTCAGAGCCTGGAGCCTGCTTCGGATTCTGTGTCTCCCTCTCTCTGCCCCTCCTCTGCTTGTGCTGTGTCTCTCTCAAAAATAAATAAATGTGAAAAAAATTTTTTTAATAAAGCCTCTTTGCGTGGGAGTCCCTAACCTAAGGAATATCCACAGTACAAAATAAAAGATGGAGGTGGATTAACATGTAGTGCAAGAAAACGAGGCTGAATCTTTTATTTGTGAAGTAAAAATGACAGTGAGGAGTGTGACTGTTTTTGAGCATGTGATTGCATAAATGTTTGTGTAATAGAATACATTTTATTTTATTTTTTTTAAGTTATTAAGAGAACGAGCAGGGGAGGGGCCGAGACAGAGGGAGAGCAAAGCAGGCTCTGTGCTGACAGCAGAGATCCTGGCGCAAGGCTCAAGCTCAGGAACAATGAACCACCCGGGCACCCCTAATCAGATACGTTTTAAAAATAATGACCTGCCCGCATGCATCTGGCCACTCGTGCTTTGGGGGGACCCTGGCAGAGTCGGAGGAGGCAGTTAACTGGTGAGTCCTGAGGCAGAAAGAAGCTCAGGGGAGGAAGAGGAGATGGCATCCCAGGCAAGAGGGCAAGGGACAGGTTCCTGCTCTACAGGTTACCGATGCCAGAGCAGAGTGAGTAGAGCAATACCTTGTAGTTAGGAGGCTGTGAACAAGGATGCTGTTTACTCCGGAGGAAGGATTTGAGGGGCCTCCTTTTCTCTTGACATAAAGATGGCACTTTGACTTATTCTAGAGAGCTGTAGTTTTCATTTTTATCCATTTTGGATCAACTTAAATACCTGTCTTCTCTTTAGAAGAGTGGCTTTTCCCAAATAGTTGCTCTCAGTAAGCTTCCCGACCAGTGTTATGCTTTTTGTACTGAAGCCTGTTCTTCCGAGCACACGTTCTCTTGAAGCGCCTGGGTGGCTCAGTTGGTTAAACTTGCAACTTCGGCTCAGATCACGATCTCGTGGTTCGTGAGTTCGAGCCCTGTGT